TCTTCCCATCCCATACTTACAGAGCCTTCGAGACAGCCAGGTGTATTGTAGCAGCATCAGAGAACGCAACATGAACGTAAAGCAAGCATATTTGAAAGGAAGGGGATAAGTTGCCACAACTACAGTTGTCAATTGCTGATCGCAGTTGATGAACTTCACACTGTAGCTAACATAGACATAGACAGATTGAGAGAGTACTCAACAAAGCTGCTTTGAAGGCCTTGTCAGAAGCAGGGCGCTGGTCATCTACATCAGGGCTGTGCATGCGCGAACATTAGTATCCCCGCCTTGATTTCCAACGCACGAGATTTAATTTTCCACCCGTGTCGGACTAAGGTCCCCGCTAGTCACGTGCCCACACGCTCCCGCCATCTATGGGGCGTGTCCGATGCTTGCGCATATTGGTACATGGTATACGCATGCGCGCAGTTGCACGAAAAGCAAATAGAGAAACCGTCAGACGTCCTAAAAAATTGTGCGATTGTTTAAGTTCTAGACCTCGTCCTTCTACATCATACCACCTCCTGTGTTCACGGCTCCTCTGTCATGTAGCTACGTAGTTATATTTTCTATTATTCACAGCCTGAGGTATGACTGGTAGCTATATGGATATTTTATTGGGTGACAAGCAATAAATTTTGGTATAGACAAGGTGATAATATTTGATCATGGACACAACAAACACTATTTCTGAAACATAGGATTGTATATACCTTCTCGGAGAAAAAAAAATCATGTGTACAATCGGAAAACTAGTAAAGGATGATTGACATTTTGGTTGAGGAGACTTGTTGTCGGTTATTGTCGGTTAATGGAGTTGCATGCACTGATTTTGAATGAACTGTCAGAAACCTATAATTATTATTTCTAGTGAGAATATACACAAAATAAAATGTAGCTAGCTGCTCTCTTTTTCAGGATTCACTGAAAGGGAAAACATACATACACAGCACACATACAAACTCATGAAACCCAAGCTAAGCTTTTTTCTGCCTATTATTATACTCAAAGGGGAAACATGATTAACTTCTCTCACTTCCCTTTCTCCTTCCAACCCTCCCTCTCTCTTCCTTTCTCCTCCCTCTCTTTCTCCCTCAATCAATCCTTCTCTCCCTCTCTTCCTCTCTCTTTCATATCTCCCTCCCCCTTGCAGCCACACAATAGCATGGTCTAAATGATCTCGTATATATATTATTCTGTATTCTTCGGCTCAGAGGTGTCGCCTTTTTCGCGGAAATTAAACGCATGCGCACCACCCGTGTTGCAGGGAACATGGCTATTTATAATATTATACTGCTCGCATAATACCCTTTTTGTGTGACGTGTTGAACGGTTCCTGCTGCGTTTGACGAAGACGCTACCGCAGCTTCGACTATTTTTACAGGTACAATTATAACAATGCCACGCATCCTTTGGCGAGCGAGCAAGTGCGCGAAACACATTCTAACCTTGGAGCAAAGTGGAGCGGGTTACAGTACTTGGTCTATGTGTCTGTGTGTCCCCAAGAAGCTATGCGACAGGTTCGGCGCTTATCGTGTTCAGCGTGAAAAAGCGTATGCACTCCGCCCGTGTTGTGCACTGTGGAGGTAGCTATCAGAAGCTACGACGGATGGCGAGTGGGAGCGAGCTAACCTAGTGGTCCGAACGGCGCGCTAGCCATGAGCGAGATAATTCTTATCCATTCGGCTGCAATCGCTACGCTCTTCGATGCCTGGCCGAGGCTGTAAATCTTCGTGGTTCTAAGATACAGTAATATTGTGTTTTCGCTACTAGTAAAAAGCCTTAAAATCCTAAAAGTCAATCTGCATAGTCATTCAGCTTGATAGCGAGAAACCTAGCAGCCCCCGGATTGAAAAAGGCGGCTCTGCGAGGCTATTAGGGGAACCTGCAGTAACCGCTCATCCCCAGAAAGTTGGGGATACCGGAAGCATTGGGGCTGGATCTTACTATCTGCCATTATCCGATGCAAACAAAACTGTAATGAAAGTTAATAATGTGAGCAGTATTTATAAACCCAAACAACGAAGGAAAGGAAAAGTACTATGACGAGTGCTCACATAAGGCAAGGGACATGCACTCATTCAAATTTTCTTATCTCAACACTTCTAAACTCGTTCTTGGTGTAATTCATACTGGTAAATCGACACTCGCAAATCACAGATGTAGATGATATTGACAGTACGGTGCTTGGTTTGTAAGTGTGTCTGTCTGTCTGTCTGTCTGTCTGTCTGTCCTTCCGTCTCTCTGTCTGTGTGATTTTCGCATAACTACTGCGTTAAAAAGTTATGGCATGAAAAGCAAGTGAACAATTCAATATGCAAATTAGCACTGGCTTACCTCGACCGCGTCCGTTCGCTCTGTGTATCTTGAAGCATAGTGTCTTTGCATCAGTGGTGGTGTGTATGTCAATCAAGAAAAGCCATAATACTTGTATAAGCGTTTTTGTAGTGTGATAGTTCGTCTTACGAAGGAAGCGCTGGCTAGCCTGAAAATTCCGGGGCATTGTGCTATTTTGCCTTGCCCGGGACACGGCCGGGAGAAACTCCATTTTTCCTGGACTGTCCCGGCCATTCCGGGACGGTTGGCAACTATAATAATAATAATAATAATAATAGTGGTCAGTTTATGCCATTTTCTGACTCAGTGTATGTCAGTACAAGTGTACAAAAATAAGTGATGTACAGAAAATCCACACAAGTATTGTGGGATTTTCTGTACATCACTTATTTTTGTGCACTTGTACTGACATACACTGCGTAAGAAAATGGCATAAACTGAGCATAAAAAGCCATAATATAAGCGTTTTTGTAGTGTCAGAGTTCAAACTGTGCCTTTAGTCACAGTTTTTTAGTAAGTTTACTGAACTAGCTAGCTATGGCTCTCTGTGCCAGGCTATGCGCTGCTACATAGCGACGGGCTGCGCGCATCAGCACGTAGTACGCGCACGCGCAGTATGCTACTCGCGCGTGCGTTGTATTACGTAATAAGTGGGCGTGCCCCATTTATAAGGAGGCGGTGTCGCGCTGACCCGGCGGTGATCCGCGCAACCGCTGAGTGTCTCAACGAAGGAGTGCAGTCGTGCAGACTCAACTCGGTATACGAGATAACAGTGGAGAAACAGCGAGCAGCGACAACGCCAACGATTTTCCTGCACGTTTTTAGATGCGCTACCGTGTATGCGCAGAAACTAAATATTCGGACACCGGATATTCCACACTAAGAGTACTTATACTATCCCCCGGATAAAATATACGGGGGATAACATTATACTGTGACACCAGATTGTCCTCCGGAAAACTTGGGAACTATGTTGAAGGTACAAGAAGTCACAACGCATGCTATATACTCCTGTAGCTAGCCCGTGTCAGACTCTCCCCGACTAGCGGGAGACCGCGGACCCAGCCCACCAGGCATAGACATTACTGTTTCATCTAAAGGCCGGCAATTTTCATCTGAAATCTGGTAGAGTTTATCAGTAACGTCAGGTATTAGGAGAGTGTGTGGATGGTGGGAGAGGGAGGGAAGCGTTGTATGTATGCTTGCCTACTGTTATTGAGGATAGTTACATCAGGTTGAAGAAGGATGTGCTAGGACTCATTGATAGATTACAGTGTGGACAGAGTCTGTCGCAGAATAATGGCCGAGAGAGAGCTTTGAAAAGGGACAAAGCGGCCTTTGTCCCTCTTGCCCCATCATTTAGAGCCATGTCTCATATGAGCCATGACAGCTCGGGAACAGTGCCGATGTGCTTAAGGGACTGATGGGTGCAAAACTCCCTCAGTCCGAACTCTTTGTCGGCGGTGAGGACTCTCTTCTGCAAATCCCTTTGGGAGACTGTTGAGGTAAGAACTTCCCCTGTGAAGTTGGTGCGATACACCCCTTCCAAGTATCGACATTGCTCGACGATTGTCAGTTTTCAGACATCTCTCCCTGTGAAAAACTTGAATATCAGTGAGCTGAGCATATCTTCATCTGCTAGATAGTTTAACTTTCTGATGAGCACTCTAGCTCTCATACTAGGCCAATCAAGTGCCATTAGTACACTTGTGTTTGAGTTAAAACGGGAAAGTCTAAGAATCCTCTTGTCAAGGGTACACTGAAAGTTCTCCAACTTTTCAAGGGAAGTGTCAGTCAAATACCGGCTCTTTGAACCAAACAGTAGCACAGGCATCACACATGTGTCCACAACGGATCGAGACGAAAGAGGGTTCAGTTCACCTTGAAATACTCCTATGCAACCAAATGAGAAGAACGCCTTTTAGGCCTTGGAGATGTTTTCCGTGATGGATTTCATTGGACTCAAGTCTGATGTCCACCAAGTACCCAGACATTTAGAGGCAGTGATTGACTTGAATCAAGGTCGCAGAACCCACTTCAACTTGGACATTCTTTGGTACACTTCCATAGGAGTGTATAACTATAGCTTACACTTTTGTGTATTCATCTGCAGGAAATTCTCTGCCAGAAAATCGTTGATGATAGTTGCTTGGGTGATGCTGGACTGAGGGTTAGCTACATATCAGACTTCGAATGTCATCGGCATGACCCAGGGAGCCCAAAAACACACCCTCCAGAGCTACTCCGGTGTTAGCTCCCTTGAAACAGACTGTCAATAAGCACTAGGAACAGGGTAGGGGAGAGAACTGAACCCTGCCTCACTCCAGGCTCAATTATAAAAGCTTGCGATAGGCAGCCGTTTACCTTCATGTGACCCTTTGGTCTATCATAAAAACTCTGAATTATTCTCCAGCACTTGCCATGTATTGCACTTGAGTAGACGTGCTTCAATAGGATGCATTACTCAACACTGTCACAATACTAGCTTTATCCAAATCGTAGAAAGTCTGGAAGACAGTGTTCCTGTTGTGTGCATTTTCATACATGGCGAAGGTAGCACCCTCACATGACACACCACACGGGTAAGCTGTTTGCTGAATTGGGGGAAAACCTTTGGTTTTAAGTTCAGGCAACATTCGAGCCAAGATGAGAGGTTCAAACAGTTTGCTGAGCACATTGGATACCCCGATCCCTCTATAGCTATTGGTGTCAAGAGGATTCTTTCCTTTTCCTTCGTATATATAATTATAGGTGTAATATTAGCTTCCTTGAAAGATGATGGAACACACTCCAGAAGAAGAATAGCATTGTAAATCTGTGTAATCCAAGTTCTCTGAAGAAAACTACCACCAAACTTTATGTGTTCGCTGGAGGCTCTATCTGGTCCAGTAGCTTTACGGTTGGGTAGCTTTGAGATAGCCATTTAAACTTCTTCAACATCAAATTGTACGTCGATCACATAATCCTCATGGGAACGAGAAGCACTGGTTGGTGACATTATTTCCCTCTGCAAGGCCTGGACCTCACAGGTGCCAGTGATTCTTGACTTACTGAAAGATGAGAAGTGATTTTCCCACGCATGTACCAGCTCTTCTCTATCGGTGATTGTATGGTCATCGATCTGAAGTTTCATGCGTAATGAAGAGGACTTGAGGAGTGTTTTGAAAAACGCTTAGGATGACAGTTTTTAAACAGCATGTCTCGTTGCTGAATTGTCTTTCTCTCTTTGATTGCCTCCAAGGTGTTTATTCGTTGGAAGACTGCTCTCTTGAGAGAGTTTTTCTTGCTATATAAGTCTCCAGTTGTGGGACGGCCCGCATCCATTTATTCCGCCCAATGACTTACTCTCTCAACTGTCTTCCTCTGGCTGGAGTTCACATACACAACATCTTCTGTGGCTCCCTTATGATCTAGCACTGATTAGCCACTCCAGCTCTGACCTGCAGAACATGCTGCATATTGTATCAACCTACGCCCGGCAATGGTGGTACAGCTTGAATGCTGACAAGTCTGCCATTGTGGTAATTGGAGAATCTCCAGCTTCTCGTGCGAAGACCCACCCTCTACAGCATTGGTTTGTCTCTGGTGAGATGATCCCTGAGAAAGATAGCCAGCACCACCTTGGGGTTCTCCGTACAGTCTCTCCATCTTCATCTGCACGCACCTCTGAGTGCTGCAGTGGTGGGAGAAGCACTTTCTTCAGCTGCAATACAGTAGGTTTTAGGTTTGGCTCTCTGCACCCCGTCACAACGCAAAGGCTATCTGCCTACCAATTCTACAGTACGGAAGCGAATTATGGCACATAACAAAAACCGAACTCCTGATGTTAGAGCGTGTCCACTGAAAAATCCTGAAAACTATCGTGGGACTCCCAATATGCTGCAACACCAAAGCTCTCCATCATATGATGGAATCCCTCAGCATTGAGAGAATGATACACCATCATCAGCTAAACTTTCTTCACTCTTTCTCATCCCTCTCATCTGACTCTGCACTATCAGCTGCTTCTATCCCAGATAAGAGCCCCTCCCTCTAGCGGCATTATCC